CCGTCGTCTTCCCGGAAAGCCCAAGAGATTCTAAATCCAAGAAATCCAAAATATGGAAGGAGCCAAGAGAATCTTGTTGGGTTCGCGAAAGAAACCCAGGAGGAGGAAGAACAGGAGATTTGTCAGGAATCTCGTGGCCTACCTCAATTCCGATGATTACTTGTTCTCTCCTCTGTTTGCCAATTCCGAATCATCGAAGGCGAACGACATCTCCATGGCAGGTAATGTATTTCTCGATCGTGTATTTGTTTCTCGATTAGAAATCCAACTCAACTCCTCTGTTGTTGGGTTTTCGGAAGTTGGTCTGAATTTTGCTAATTTGGGGGTTTATTAGGGATTGAAGCATTGGAGATGAAGAGGGTAAAGAGAAAAATGTCGGAGAAAGTGAAGGAATATCTAAAGTCTGATTGTCATATGTACGGACCAGTTACCTCCTCTGCTTCTTCGATTAAAGGTGAGACCTTTTTTTTTTTGTATACTAAAGAACAAGAACAAGAACAAACCGTAGCAGCAAGTGTGTATAGTTAGGTTGATATTTAACTAATTTGAATCAGATTATAAGTTTCTGCATTTGGTCCGGCTTAAGAATAGTTTTTTTTTTTTTTTCTGAAGCAGGGAAATTGCAAATCACAAACTTGGTTACTATGGAAGTATCAACGAGTACTACAACAACAATGAGGGAAGATAACAACAAGTATAGTAATCTCCAGTCAGACATTACAGAACAGACATTGTTGCATAATGGAAGGATCAAAACACCAAAAGAAATCTTAGGAGGACAACAAACTGGACTAAGCCATGAAACAGATCATTCACCACCAGGTATGTTGATTAATTGCTATGAAAATGGAACCTGTTTTAATGGACTAGTAAGTAACATTTCAAGTCTAGTCCTTAGCCAGTGACATTTTTAGTAGAAAATGTGATATGGCCTCATGCTCTTCCATATTTTGTTTAATTTAAGGCTGCTTGTAAAATTCAGTGACTTGTTTTCTTGTTACATTTCTGTTAGAGACTGATGATGAGAGTAGTCAAATGTAATAGTAAAATGTGTTTCTTTGTTATATGGCAGAGAAAACAGAGAAAAAGATGAGCAAGCCAGAGCAAAGGAGAGTTACAATTGAGTGAAGATCATAATGTAGATGTAATAGAAAATGTAATCACTGTAAAATTCAATTTATTTAGATGCAATAATTAGGGGAGTTCTGAGAGAGAAGAAGAAATCAAATAGGTTTTGTTTGATTGGAAAGCGTTTCTTGTTGATAAGCTTTGTAGGAAGTGATGTATGAATGTAGATGACGGAGATGTGCGTGTGTCTGTCTGAAACATATTGCCATGTTAGCTGTCTGGTCTTTGATCAGTCGTTGTATGTCAATAAAAACTGTTGCAGCAATATCCTTTTGGCTAAACTAACTCACCACTCGATTCAGAAAACAAACTGTGTTTCCACTATGTTATGAAGATAAAGATTGGTTTATTTTACAGAAAAAAAAAAGAGAAACTATAATAACATTTTGAAAAAAGAAGGTGAAAGTATTAAAAACAGTAGGATCCAAGAATTGAATGTGAAAAAATGGTGAAAAGGATCGAAGCTAGAGAGTAGAAGATGAAGGGGGTTACAAGTAGTGATCGTGTGCACGTGAGGTGTATTTAATTTCTGTGTCCCACATTGCAGACCCTTCCCATCTGTCAACTCCACACACGCATGCAAGAAAGCTCTTTCTATGTACGCGTTGCGTGTATAATACTAGCATTATAACATTATTGCAATCGAAATCAGACCTAGTAACATCATATCTGTCAATGTTTCCGAGTCCCTAGTCTAGTTTCGAAATAATGTGAGGCTATATAGTAGACAGAGTAAAAAGAAATTTAAAAGATTGGATGGTTATTATGAGATATTAATACACAAATGGGGTATGTCTATAATTATATGACACAATCGTATTGAAGCATGCACATGAGTCCCCGAGAAAAACGGAGATTATTGTATTGGGGACTAGATATTTAGACGTGGACATAGCACACGTGTACACTCACAAAATCGTAATGTCATTATTAGTTTTGTAGTTATTGTTATGAAAGTGAGAAGCAAAGGAGAGCGATGAAACAACTCAGCGAAGAAAAAGACGTGATGTATCTTTTTATATGTACAAAAGACATGCATGCATGGGTTTTCACTCACTATCGCTTCGTTGTAAACACGACCGTTCTATATATTCTCTTCAATTATACGTTATTCTTTATATGTATCTATCGAGGAGTGTTTATCTAATTCGTCCAAATTAGTATCATTGATATAGAGAGGCCAGACATCCTTAATTATAAGATGATAAGATCAATATTGGACTTAAGTGTAGCTCTTTTTATTTCGGTTCCATTTGTCGATAAATTTTTCGATAGATTTAAACCAGAGATCAATTCCCTTCAAATATAAAATTATTTAACCAAATTCTCATTAAACAAGTCGAAGTAATGTCATATTTTAGATCTATTAGAAAAATTGGTGAATAAATTACTCTATCGTTACACTCATTCTTGAAAAAATTAGTTGGGAACAAAATCAGGATCACCCTCTAATTATTCAAATAAGTTGTGATTAAACCATTTTTCAAATTATCTACAACATATATGCGAATGATTGATGAAGATTAGTGCAGCCACTTGTAGAAAAACTAGTCACAGCCTAAACGATATGCTCTCCTTTCAATTGGATATATAATCAATATAGACTTCGTAATTGAAGAAATGAAATCAAGTTTTGATTGGCTATGGGAATAAGTCCATCTAATTGTATTATTCTTCATCGTTATCCGCTAGTCGCTATGACAGTACTGCTCTACAGTCTCTACTATGCGTACGATATTACTAGAGGAGAAATCTATACATATATACCAATACGACGTATTGTAGTTGAAATAGTAAGAATCAATAATGAGAGAAAGTTTTGTAAGTATTCGAATTATTTGTTGGTTGGCCTGTGGAGGTGAAGCTTGGAACGTGGAATGACTCATAGTCCTCCGAATTGCTATCCACCTATGGCTGGGTTTTGGTCAATACGGTTGCGCTTTTGTCGTATATGCATGACCAATTAATTACCCATTAATTATTTCGTGTATTATTCGATCAACAGATCCAGCAACAACAATTTATGTAATCGGCATTCACATGTTCTCCAAGACACAACATCATGTACCTATCACCACCATTGTCCATATAAAACTCTTGATGTTTATAAA